TCGATGAAGGTAGTGCAAACAGCGTTTCTTTGGTTCCAACACATGAATAACAGTGTTACCATCAGTTATTATTTCGTATTTTAACTGTTACAATTTTGTGATCGTGGGAATTTTTCATTAAGAAACAAAACATTGGAAAAGAATAAGCATTGATCACAAAATATCGATGTTAGATAAACATAGGTGTTAATACGTCGATGTTTAAAACATCTAGGTTTCTACGAAAACATCGACATCGATGTTGGACCCCTACTCTGCAGAGGCTCTAGGATTCCAGTCCCGACGGTGGGGCACTAGCTAGATAGCTACGTCAAAAATCAAACACACTCTGGAGGAGAATTCTAGAGGCCGACTGCTAAATATCAGTAATTTTCCGTGGTTTCTCCGACCAATATTAGAGTAAATTCTGGAGGGGCACCCAAGAGGGAAGGGCGCCTCAGGGGACTTACCCCCCTCTCCCAGAAGACAATATTACCCGTTCTAAGGGTACAATTAGGCAGATTACCGCAAATGTCACATCGGTCTACACACTCACAGGTCGTCACATGCGTTACTGATCACTGGTGCTAAACGTCTTCACAGAAACCTGCGCATCTCGCGACTGCTCGGTAGCAGCGCGAAACAAGTTACATTCATCTCGCGCGGCTATAATCGGACAACTGATTTTACGTCGCTCACTTGAGCTAATAGAAATACCCCCATAGAGACATCTTTTGATGTGAATACACCCTACTGCAGCATTTCGTTCACACCACAAAATAAATTATGTGATCCGATAACATTTCTTTCAGAAAACAACCGTTGCCATGACTTCTACCTCAACCCTCGAACTAATCCCTCGAGTTTGGTCAAAGTGTGTACACATATATATAGGGCTTGGTTCAAGTTATATATAAATGCTTCGGGATGTATGTTTCATCCCATTCCGCAGAACCAGTGGATCGTTTGTGTCCGAATTTCTCTTCCACTCTACACGGACGTACTCTGACTACGCACCAAGAGCTACTGGCTGCTCACGCACAACATGCGCAATTTGCGAGCGCTGCGGGTGCGCCGAGGGCTTACCTGAGCGTGGTGAGGGACTTGACGTCGTCGTAGATGTCCTCCTCGTCCAGGCCCAGCCCCTGGCCGTCCGGGCCGCCCGCCCCGCCAGCCGCGCGAGCCGGCGGGTCGTCGCAGTCGTCGTACGCCGGCGTCTCCCCGCAGTATTCGTACCTGCACACGCGATCACGCACGTCATTCCACTCAACGTTTAAATACTACAATACTAACGACTAATGAAGAAATAATAAAGATAAAAACAGCAATTCTTAAAGATATTTATTACGTTTATAGCGTCAAAATTAAAGATATTGCAATTAGTTTCATAATGAATATTATTAGAACACACATGACTATCGAGTGGCGTATCTTGGGGAGAGAGCATGGGGGTCATGCCCTCCTCCAAAAGGCCTAGAGTTCGTTTGCTACGTTCTTTTATTTGACAAAATGTATTTAAATATTTATTTTATTTACAATTATTTAAAAATAATATTGTATATCATCTTATATACACTGCAAAAATAATATACAATATAAATATAAATGTTTATTAACAAAAATCTATGGTGGCTCTCTCCAAAATGATCGTCCCGATCTGCCTTTGCTGCTATCAATGTCAGTCCGAGACCTTAGTACACTGCAACGTTGGTCAAATGTAATACATTGAAATATTTGTAAAGTGGATGAAAAGTACGATACAGATAAAGTAAAACATTACTACAATACTCAATTCTCCAGTATAGTTTTCTAATAATATGGCTTACAATACTTGTTTTGTGAATAACTATCGTCTACAATACATGCTGAAATTTCACTTCCTTACTCAAAGACTACGTTGGAAAATTTCGTGCCCTATTAATTTTAGTTTTATGAACCATTATACAATTACGATATGTCTGAGCTTTTTGGCGAGAATGTCATAAAAAACTCCACCCTATCTAAGTTTATAAGATTATTATAGAATACCACATTAATAGGCTCTTAATACATAATTCTTGATAACAGTCTCTTAGTCTAAACAAACAAGCAAAGCCTAAACAATAGGAAAACAATTTAAACAATTCAGCTTCGTTACTATTACATTCAATGGATATTGGACGGAACGTCACTAAAGTTTTGTCCAATTTTTTTTTCGGCACAGCTGGTCGTTCGGCGTGCATTTGTGACGCAGTGAACTTCGTTTTTTTGTCAATTTCTTCTAAAAAATTGTCCATATTATGGTACGATTTACTTCAAATATGAAAATGTATTTGGTGTAATGAATACCTTACCAGTATTTTTATAAAAAAATTTTATTAAAGAAACAAAGATGGTTCAAATTTAAAATTCTTATGCAATATAATTGTTTTTTGAGATCTCCAGTGCAGTACCATATGAAAAAAAGAACAAAAATCCAACATCAACCCATGCACTGCCGTATCGCAAAATCGCAATAATTACATTTTAATTGTTTGAGTATAACACGTGCTTGAGTGTAACGAAGATCAACGACATAAACAGTTTTGCAATCCGTGCAGCTTCCCACGAACTCAATGAGGACAAACGTTTCCACAAAGCCCAGTAATAAAATCTTCTCCCGCGGAAAGACCACTTAAAGTAAAATTAAATGGTTAAAGTTGCAATTGTGACGCATCGCTAATACAGCTACATTATCTTTCTCGCGAATATTTAACTATGTGATGTACAAAAAGCGAGCGGAACATTTCCATATATTAATTTATTTGAATCTAATTCCAAGAAAACTCTAACGCACTGATAAGACACGGGTATGAATATGACACTGGCGTAGTTCTATGCATTTCAGTAAGGATAGCCTAGGTAAGCGTAGTAAGACACAATTCAGTAAGGTCAGGAAGTAGGAATCAGAGTAAATAAAATTTACGCCTAGATCATTTATGAGATGGAAAAAAGTTTCTTATTTTCCCTTCTCGGCAAACAGAGATTAACTTTCTTTTACGGAGCTTGAGATACGTTTTCTTGAAACCGCTCATTTTGAATCACTCATCTTTGCAAACACATAGAAAGGTTATTTCAGACTCGATATTGACTAAAATATCCTAATAATACTTCTGATTTAATGACACTCATTTAGTATTGGTTCATGATTAGATTGCACGCACGAGACTTCGAAATAGTCTTGAGATAATAAATTGATTTACGGACAAAATTTCTATGTAAAGACCTTTACATTTCATGCAAGAAACAACCGAAAGACTTACTTAGATATTTAAGCATTTTAGCAGTTACAGCTAGTTATGGAAGGGAAAGTGAGCCCAGAACTTAGGATTTCATTTGTATGGTAGAGTAGACGAATTTGCAGGAACATCTGATGTCCTCTAAATTTGGAGAAAAAGGAATATTTCAATCAGGAATTTCATTGCACAAACACCTAAGAAAAACCAGCCACAAAATTGCGTTCCCCACATCGACTGCAAAATAATATAATTTCCAACTAACACAATAAAAGACTCTAAATAATGAACCTTCAAAAAATTATATGAGATGAACATCACTAGAATGGAATATACGCCAAAGCATTACGTGTTGTCTTCATCTATATTTCCTATTTGTCATCCATAAGTCTGAGATGAAAATTTAATGAAAATTATGGTATTTTTTTTTCTTTTGAGTAAACGTCACATGTATCGATGATGATTATTTTTATTTGTCTCTTCCCTTCACTCTCTTCTGCATCGTCTCTCCAACCACCAATCTTCTTGACGGGCCACTTATTAGTAAATCTGCGCATCTGCTTCGTCTGTCCGGGTTAATCCAGCACATGCTGTAGCACTCACCCGTCCTCCTCGTCCGGCACCAGCGCGACGTGGGGCGCCGAGGGCCACGCGGGGCCGGCCCTCGCCGCGGCGCCGGCGCACACGTCGTCGTAGTGGTCCTCTTGCTCGTCCGCCGCCGCCAACGCCGCCTCCCCCTCCGCGGCCCCGTCGGCGCCGCCCTGCAGACGGAGGTGCGCGTAGCAGCTCGTGGCCGGGTGGATGTCGTCGTAGATGTCCTCTTCCGGCTCGGGCATGCGCGCCTTGTGCGCGGGGGCGGAGGGCGGCGGGCGGTCGG